GGGGTACTCCGTGATGAAAGAGCCATGATCAGCTATAAAGCAATTATGTTCGTACTATAGAGTTGACACTAGCAGAGCAGTCGGGAAGTAGTGTTTTCTGAAAGCCCTTGCTTATTAAATAATAGTACAAATCGCATCTCTTCCTCATACGCTAGTAGCACGTTATGAATTTAAAAGTACACGTACAGTCCCATAGCGATCCATCGGTATGCTCAACTATGAATCTCCATTCGAATAACTGCTAGTACATACCTAGATGATTCAACCAGCTTCAGTTCACTCGCAGACCTACATACATAATGGATAGTAACGAGGATAATCCAGGAATAGAACGACCTAGTGTTATGACTTTAGAGCTACAGCTGTGATCTTGAGAAAGAAGCCGATCAGGCGGTCAATGGATGCCCAACGAATCCTTCAAACGCATCAAGTAACTACACGATCTTCAGGCATTAGTATGCAGTTGCTCTTATCACCGCAGTTAGTTGAAATCAAAGCAATCAGTATGTTTCATGTCTAACATTTCAGTGATGAACTTGAAGTGCCCGCAAATGTCAGTTAAATGTCCTCTTGATGCGAATATTATTCTCCTGATCGTATGGAAATGAGCTTTCCAAGGTGAATCTTTTGAAACATATTTAAACGAACAAGAAACATTTTCTATCAATTAGATGATACGAAAGGATATTGTAAACGTCGGCTGCTAAGTCGCCAAATGCCCAATGTCTGATAGCTTGATCAATGTCACTATGGCGTGCTTTTATGGCAAAAACAAGACTAGGTAACACTGTTTCCTTAGAAAATTTGCAGTGTCTGCATGATGATGAGCGATTGGAATCACTACTTTATCTGCAACAAGAAATTGATCTACAATGCCATGAAAGATTTGCTAAAATCGAATAGTCTGAAATTGTGCTCATATCTATGGCTATGTAACAGCAGAATATAACGTGACACTACCTAGAATTAAAATTAGTCATAACCCTTTGGCTTGCATGGGAATAACTCTTTGTATGTCTAACTGGCAAGGCCAGACTGTCTGCTCCACTTCCTCTGCGAATCTAACTCCAGCATAAGATTCACTGCTTGTCCCACTCCTTTTTATCACTAGGCACCCCATCCATCGCGAAGAAGCTTGCTGACAATCTGCAACTTATAGCAACATAATATGCTATTGTAGGTACTTTCATTGAAGTTGTTTGGAGAGACGTGAAGTGGACAAGCAACTGTCTCTAGGGCAAACAATTTAGTAGATGACTTAAACATGAATTCTCATTCTAAACTGAATTACATTAGAAATCACCACATTGTCATTCAAAACGCAAGGAAGTTGGATATGCGTTGTTACCCCATGGGTCTACGTTTTGTATCAAGAATTAGAGAAATATTAGACTGAACGTTTTTTGTTGTGATAATTACGTTGTAAAAAATCGAACCAGCACCGTTTTGCCCGTTGGACGAGGTGCCGAGTAGCAGAGAAAAGTGAAACAAACATTTTTTTTTGCACTATTGGGACTGCGTGAATAGCTGTCGCGCGCCGCTTCAGGTTTCTACATGCTCTATCGCAACCCCGGAGGACTCTCAGATACAAAGGATCCTAGGTCCATTTTGCAGCCAGAAGGAGAGGTGATGATGAATGAAGGTCAGCTGAATGCTGGATAGACAAAGCAATCAAACACGAAGCGAGTTTCACTACAGCTGAACACCAAAGTTTTGAAGGGAATTAACAGCAATATTCTATAAATCATAGCGAGCAAACACACTATTTAGAGGCAATCTTTATGACATGCGAATAACAATTCAAAGAAAAGAACAAAATTAAAAAGGAATTCAGCACTGCAGACAGTAATTATAGCAGAAAATTATAAAAAAGTTTTCGAGTGATGCACAAACACACCCCAATTTTCATTACTTTATCTAGGTATTATTGGTGTTAATCACGCCGTTATGAAGGGCAAAGCTCTCGGCGTTAGCAGTAGCCTACCGATGTATCAAGTCAGCGCTACTTATACAGGCAAGTGTGATGCCAGTTTACGAACCCGATGGGATGAATGAATCGGTGAACTATGAGCGCAACATTGAACCATCAACTTCGTGGCCCTTACGGTCCATGGCGCTTTGAATGATGTATACGGGTGACATAGAAGTAGGGAACAAGATAAAGTATATTTTGTTAAGAATGTATATGGTCTAAGAAAAGGTATTTCATACCTGAACTTATGATTTGAATGAGGTTCTAAAACGTGGGTTACGCAGTGGCAAATGATCAGAACCAATGAATAGCCTGACGCCACCTCTTGTGTTTTTGCGACCACATGTAGCTATATCAGAAAAGATGAAATGTTACAGAACACTGTTTTTGTTATTGATTCAGAAGGAGATGTACGCAATACACTGTCTCTGCTACAACTAACTTGTTCTCAGCGCTGCACACGCATGAATGATTTGCTGAAAATGAGTGCCTAGTGTTTATGATATACTTACAGTTACGCCGTTACCGAAAACGGTTTGCCACCTTGACTTCAACACTGATTATGCATTAATATTGAGAAATTTTCTGTTGATTTACACAATCCGTTGTCACATTTTACTTTGCGATACCAATACTTATAGCACTCAATTCCTCTCGTCTTCTCGAACGTCGTTGGATACTGGTAGAGCTTGTCTCATTGCAACATCGAGGATAGCTTGGTTGTGGCGTTCCATAGGGCTTTCGATGTAGACAGCTGCAGACTGGACGAGGGCAAGGGGACGGAGATCGCTCCCGCACCACCGCGATTAGCATCACAGTCACTCGGCTACGACCTCCCATCATTAGAGATATAAGCCCCTCCCCCAAATTCACAATTTCGTTCCATTCCCATTTTGTCGATATCAAGAAGGCCGATCAAAATTTCATTTTTAGACACCTTGCCATAACCATGAAATCTCCCACATGAAAATAATCATAATATGTTAACTCCTCATTGTAAGGAACAGTGAGAGAATGGGAGGTAGATAAATGGTCATCACGCGAGTTACACATCGCAGGCACAGTTCTTACTGAGCAGCGATGATTCTCGATGACGATCACATCGCAATCAACATCCTTAAGCCAAAAGGAAACAAACGATTGAAGGAGTAACACCTGGGAATAAATTCACACTAGCAATCCGTAAACAGATTGGCAATCGTTGAAGAATGGTTGTTCTGAATTAGAGTCGAAAAAATGCTTAATTCTATTGATTGTGTGTGTGGATGACATTCGCTAAAAATATCAGGAAAACTTATATTAAGTCACTCATAAATCGGTAGGAAAATTCGATAACTTCGTTCCATCAAATACATTCCATTCAGTGAAAATGAAGATGAATCAGAACTTTCGCGAGCGTGTAATGGGACAATAGATGATGAGATGAAGGAATATTTGCTAGACAGGTATAACCGAAGGTTCAAAATGAAAATGGTATCTATCTTTTTTGTCTTTTATCATTCATTTTCTGCAGGAGTTCATTTTCAATTTCACTTTTACTTTGCACATTCTATTCAACCTGAAGACTTCTTCTCAATTTTGATGTTTAAATTTGTTAAGCGAATCATCTACACTACTGATCCTCTTTGGGAGACGCTTTAGCTGCATCACAAACTTTCATAAGGCATTAATCATTCAGAAGTGGGACCGTGATCTGGAGCGGAAGGCTCGGCTAACAGTTGTAGGATGCCCATCAACGCTTCCAAACAAATTTAAAAATCGCTGGAGCTTCGGGAGGTATCGAATACAATCTATGATATTTGGATGGAAACTAGAAAATCAGTAGTTACGCCTATTTTTATCAATTCAGGGTCACTGTCAAAGTTTGGGAGCCATACTATTGGAGACACGACTTTGGTGGAGAAGCAACGCAAGTGAAGTGGTAAATTTCAAAATATATAGAAAATTTGAAGACGACAAAATTTCATTTGAGTAGATGAAACAAGAGAATGTATCCCGCTTTTGGTGCGGAATGGATGACTGCCTGAATCCAATGACATGCACACCATAACCTTACTGTGTTTTCACAGAAACGAGTGAATTGTACCCTTTCAAATAGTTCTAGCGATAATAATTCGGTAAGAAACTGGGCAATGCAATGTTCGCAAAATGTCATCTAAGTAAAACCACAATTTTGCTAGCTGCAAAAAAAATGGGCTGTCCAAGTACACTTATTTATTAAATTGATCAAATCTTCCTCGTCATTCCGCGCAACTTCGTGAGGAAGAATTTTTTACTGCACAAAAGTTTTCATTAGTAAGTTAATAATCGATCAAAAGCTTGAATTTTAGTGGACTACTACCTACACTTTTATATGAAGAGCCTTTTTACAGTGCTGCAGCATTTGAAATCAAACTATGTTTCACACACGCTGTGCGCTTTTTACCATTAACACGCTTAAATTTCGTTGGGCAGAGAACTTTCTCAAAATAATTTCGATCATTACATACTGTAATTGTTGGAATTCGAAATATATGATCAAATATAATTACCTTTATTTGATCGCATTTAAACGGTGATATAATGTTACAGGTATTTTCAATGATAGTAAATTATATGCAAAGCTTTCAAGTAAGACAGGACTACATGGCCTTCCCCGCCGAATTATTGACTGTTTGTTACTAACAGATTGATATGTTCTAGCGCAAAAACAAGGGCTGCAAAACAAGCGCCGGTAGGGCAGCTGGTCTTGCACGTGCCCTCGGAAAGGGTGGGATGCGGAATCGAGTCCAGCTTGACGTCAAAGCTGCACATCATTGGGTATACTGAAAAATGTACTTGATTTTCTCAATAAGAAGATCCTTCCTACAGCTCTGTAGCATTTAGAATGGAATTATTATTCCTACGTGCCTCGCGCTTTTATTGATCTCGCGATTATAGTTGGTTGGACATAGCTTTGCCCCCATCCTTTCCTTAGCGACTGAATATCTTTATTCTGAAAAATTTAAGAAAATATGGCCTAAGAGAATTAGGTGGTGAGCGAAAATACGGCCTCAGACGGGAATAGAACAGGCAATCCATCCGTACCGGGAACGCGTGCTACTACCACTACACCACCGAGGCACATGTGTTCCACAACTCATTCTTCAACATCTCCATGTTAGTCATCAGCCACCAACCTTCAAAAGATCTGGTCGGGTATGCGATTTCGCTCTATACGCCTAGTTGAGCTGCCAGCCACTGTTAGATGTAATACTCCGAAATTCTAACATTTGACCTGTTAGCCTGTAATAACCAGTTAAAGGTTAGTGACTAATGGCTAACATAGAAATGTTGAAGAATCTCATTCGTTGGTGGCGCAAATGTGTCTCAGTGATTTATTGGTAGCACGCGCTTCTGGTATGGATGAATCGCGGGTTTGACTCATGTATGAGGACGTATTTCTGCTCACCACTCAATTCTTTTAGGTATATGTGTAACATAATAACACCGCCAAAGAAGCAGTAAAAATACTAGAATTCAGGAAAATGTGGCCTTCAAAAAGCTTCTGAGGGTCTAATGAAATGGCTGACGTCAGGGTAACAAGCATTTGCAATAGCATATGAGCTGCAACTATCAACGTAAATACCGAAAATGAAAATTTTTTCGTAGTGAATTTGGAATTGAGAGAAATATGCAACACAGCGTTTCTGATGTGAGGACTTGTTATCAACGTTACAGGGGCACGAATGAATCACTGAAAATGTATTGCTTGTTATCCTACAATAACATTTACATCCGTGTGACTAATGAAAATAACGAGATACCTTGATGTTACTACTGATTACAGATTGACATTCAAGACAGTAGCTTCTACAAATCCGTATTTCTGTGCTGTTTCCATTATATTAAGTCCTCTCATAAGTTCAGTTTCATAGCATCAAACATTGAATTTATCCATCAGAAGTATTTAAGAGTTCATGATTTGGATACTATTCAAGTGCGAATTATGTCGTGAACATTTGGTATATAACTTGCCTATACTTGCTTTAGGATGAAGACGTCTTGAAAACAGATTCCCTTGGTATTTATGCACGAGTGGCGCGCAGGGAAAAATCCCAGAGGACGGCGTGCAAGATTAATGGAGCTTGCAGAGATCATACTCCCAGAAGGAACGGCTGGGAAGTGATTCGTGAGGTTAAAACCTAGAGAGAGCAGGTTGAGGAATCAGTCGTTCTTTGGCCGTCCGCAGAAAGCTCCATTATTCTTGCGCTTGCGCTGCCCTTCACTAGCATTTTGCCCTACGCTCCTATTCGTACATGAACAACAAACGAATTTGCTCCTACGACAGCTTCATATCAAACAAGTATAGACAGGTTGTTTAGCAAGATGTTCGAAAGAAAATGCTATAGATCCTTGTAACATGAGCAACTCAGTACAAATACAGCTTCCATTAGACAGAAATGGCTTCCAACAGCTGTCATTTGGCAATTCAGCGAACTCAAGTCTAAACTTGCGCCAAGAAGGAAGAGCCCACTGGAGTTGAAACAGTCCCAAATTTACTCACATTAGAAGCTGGCAAACAGATTAGCTGATGTTCAAAAATAGTTATGTATAAGGATGATGAAAAATTATTCATTACAGGTTACGTATTTGGGTAATAAAAAAAATATACTGAGCCGGTCATTATAGAGTTAGTACTTCTGATAATTTTACATCGTAGACTCACAGAATTTTCTATTAGAAAAAAGGATAACAATTCGGAACATTCACGGTCTTGCAATGGAACAGATGAAGAAACGAAAGATTATATACTGCAACAGCATAATCAAACGTTGAAGACAGGACTGGTATTATTTTTTAGCTTTTGCTCACTCTAATTTCTTCTTTATTTGCGAAACAGTTACTTTCAATTTTTTTAGAGAGCATTCTGCTGTGCTTGACGATGTCGACTTACTGCAAGTGTTTACGTTCACTCATAGATTTTCTGTGATTCTCATCGTGGCACTATTGAAAAAAATTTTTTTGAATCAAATTGCACGGATAAAAATATTTAATTCTCATTCATTTAGAAGTGGGACTGCGAATTGCAGAAGAAAGCTGAGCAGGCAGGTAGGAATTGCCCAAAAACGCTTACGAACAGCTCCGAGGATTATGCAATTGAACGGTATGGAAATCAAATTTGTGTCTTTATGGACTTTAGAGTTGAATCAAATATTGAACTGCACTCATGAACTGCAGAGTTGTTCTCGGCAACGACGCTAGGCTACAAGTTGTAAGGTCAGCGCTTGTCGAGAGAATCGTGAGAGGAGCACACAATTCAGTAAAAAAAACTTGTTTCTGAGTATATAGGAAAATTGTTGAGGCTAAGAGAGACCATCTGCCTTTAGGCAAGAACGGATGCCTCAAAAGTTGGTTGCAAAATAACTGAATGTGGAGAATTTAACGGGACACGCAAAGCCACCTTGGTGTGCGTTTACAGCAAAGAGTAAGTTGTAAATTTCTCATAGTACAACCATATATATTAACTAGGAGTGATTTAAATTCCCTAACAGCACAATTCATTACGTCATCAGCCTGAAGACACTTCACCCATCTCCCAGGCAAAGGTAAATATAGCTTTGTGCAGGATTTTCTCAGTTTTCTTTTGGTGCCAAATGCTAATACTTGCCGCATCATGGTAACTCAACGAAACCTTTATCGCGGCTTGCTGCTTTACGAGTACATTGCGACGCGATGCACAGACTGCCTTTGAGAACATCATCCGAGCAAAGCACAAAAATTTATGTCCAAGTGCAGCGTTACGGTTCTCTGCTGAGTTTCGTGCTGGTAACACGAATTTGAAAGACCTTTAGCGCTCCGAACGCTTACGCGAAGTTGATTGAGAGACCGTCAACGAAGCAATAGAATAAAACTTAAATTTGACTAAGGGAGCTGGTCGACTATTTTGACTGTGTTCAAGGGACAGTCAGCACAAATGTGAGGCAGCGGACAAGAAGTGGAAGGAGGACCGATGGATTTTACAAGAGCTCATTTAATCACAAATGCACAAGCCCAAGTACGTTTTTTTGACTCGAATTATGACGAGATTTATGAGCGCGATATTGATTTGTTGCCCAGAGATGGCAGAAATGTGTTCAGGCTGATAGCACATACTTTGCATAGAGTTGTTAAGCAATTTAATTGCGCCTCTTAATTAATTTGTTGTTTATCGCCTCAATGCCAAATATTATGAGAAGACAATATAAAATGACCGACGTTTCGGCTGTTTCGTATTCGCGCGCAGTCAATCAAACACCTTCATAACCTTAAAAGAGAAGACGTGATAAACAAATTAAGTTCACATTGGACTGCTTTTATTCACACACTCACCGTTTTCTCCATTTTGTGTTTTCCAGAGATCATTTCGGCCATCTGGAGATAATTAAAAAACGACCCATTCGTTGTGCTTTCCAATGCACTTTTAATAAGTATTTGAAAGCTTGAATCTTGGGTGATGCTACAGGTGCTTGTTATTGAAAACGTTTTTCTACAGCGCTGTAGCGTCTAAAACAATATCATGTTTCAAAGACTCTGCGCGCATTCATTATTATCGCACCGATGCTTCCCTTGAAGCACGAGAAGCATATGGATATGGAGAAGAAGTTTTGTAGGATGAAAGCCTTATGCTTTATCTGTTTTTGTCAAAACGAAGAAAAAGTCTTGAGTTTAAAACCAAGATCGCATTACGCCTCTTAGTCACACCTGCGTGATCGATTAGTTGCTTCTTGATCCATGACTACTGTCACACCAACTCAAGCAATGCGCGGCTTGTTTGAAGCTCAATTTTTCCCTCGCTACAGCACAGTGAAGCGGATTTTTTAAGAAATAAGATAACTGTCAAAATTGTAGAAACTCACGCCATGGGTGACTTATTATTTCAAGAAAAAGCTTTATCCTGCAAAACAATAAGCGTCTGTGAAACATCAGCCTTTTTATAGCTAGAACGCTGTGCAAAAACACATTTAATATGCAAGCACATTTTCGAATTTTCGAGATTTAAGCCATGGAGCGGCTAGGAGCGGTCTAAGTAAGGAGTTCGGTCCTGTGAAAAATGAGAGCGTTTACGCGCAAAACGTGAAAAAGCCTGCAACGCGTGCGAAACACAATATTATCATTAATGCTGTAGCGTTGTATAAAAGCTTACGCAGAAAGTGCTTACAGCCTTTTCCAAGAATTTGAGCTTTCAAATGACTACTGAGAGTCTAATAAATTTTCTTGCCTCACAAAATCTTCTTCTTTGCAAATCCGTACTCTATAACGAAAAAAACAAGTAATCACTTGTACTTCTGCGTCTCTAATTTGTTAAGCAACTATTATAGTCCATAGAAGTGTAACTCGTCCGCGCTATCTATAATGTATCAAAATTTTCAGCTCCAAACCCTCTAGGAAAGTTTCGCCCTCAACAACAACATTTGAAGAAACAGCAACATCTGCGGAAGTTACCATTTTCATAGGTGAAGTCATTTAGAAGACCGAGCAAAGAGACGACTTCTGCTGTTGAATCTTGTCAGTCGATGCTCAATAAAGCTTGATCTTTATTCTGATGATAGAGTTCTGTCAGTGACTTCTGCACATTTTTGCTACTGATTCTAGAGTTTAGCGTTGGAAATAAAATAATCTTGAACCACCTCAAAATGAATAGGGAAAAAAATTCCGACTCATCTTTTATTCCATCATGGCCACCGCATAATAGCTACGCTTTCACTCTCAAAGGTATCCAAAAGAAATACGAGCTATTGTGAAGAATGATTATCTTGCATAGAATCCTCCACAATGAGACTTCTTTTTTATGAGTGGGACCTTGAGATGAGACTTCTAATTTTTTTAAATCAAATTGTTTACTGTTGTTTACTGATTTTGTATGTGAAACATTACGTGTAGCGACTATCTCCGGTTGATAGTTAAGCTATTTATGAAGGCGCGAGTATACCTCCTCTATTACCCTTGTCGCTTAATGGATAATCCATTCAGCCCTCTCGTCCAGACCGTTAGATGTCAGATATTTTCTAAAGCTTTTATTGAGGAAATAGGAAAATTAGGTCCCTGGTGTTTCTGTAGTGCGCTTGTCGTTTAAAAATATCTCGGTAACAGCTCTTATTCAT